AGCTTTTCAAGTCTTTTTTTCTCTCCAAAAGAGTTCATAAAGTTGTGGTCCTATACGTGATAATTATTTATATACCTGAAGTGAATTAGACGTTGTCATTTCGGGTGAATGCGATGAAAATACTAACTAATTCTGTTTTTCAAGTACCAAATAAATCCTTAGACTCTAATGTACTTTCTTATAAAGTCCATTTTTGACAGAAAGTGTTGTTAATAACTATATGATACAAACTGTTATGACCAACACAAACAACTAACAATTGTGGATAATCCGATAAAGAACTGACTAAATGGTTCAAAGATAAGGGTTTACAAACAGTTATCAGAACCAGTCATGAACGTCAGTTTATGAGACAAACGTATATATACCCACTTCAAAGGATAATTTATATATATATAAATGTGCGTATATAATCTTTTGATATCTTTCGTTCTTTCTTAATCTGATTATACATTGTATTTATTTTGTTAATCGCTTTCTTTCAACCTATGGATAGAATTTGAACTTTAAAACATCATTGATTCATTAAAAGAAAATCAAATCGATATATATTAGAATATAGTTGAAACCTAATATACTGATATACAAAATTAATGACAATTGACCTTTGATTTATGCGAGACATGTGAACTACGGCATCAAACTTCATCCAAGTTAACATCTTTGAAAAACTTTACATTTGATATATATCTATATATATATTTAATGTATAGTATAATCTTATTATTTTTGAAATTATTAAATAACATGTATATGTTTTCCAACTAAATATCATATAGTTTTAGTTTGTTATAAAAATTTATTTATTTCCTGTGTTAACAAAAATCTGGGGACTCGCCCTGAAAATTTTGTATAATGTGATCCTCTGTCTATTGAATATTGTTTAGCTTTTAATATGATTATTATTGTGACATTAGGGATATAGACATTTTCAATTTAATTAATTCAATGCTATGAATAGAGTGTGATTCTGTTGACATTAATACATTTCTGTACCCTCCTAAATATGAGCATTAAATACAATATCAATACGTCCATGAACCACGAAGATCTGCTCATCTGGTTAATTAGTAGTCAAAGGTTTTACATAACAAACATAATCTTACTAACTTAAAATAAGTATTTACATGTTGTTAACTATCGGAAGAAAATGAAGATCAAAAATCTTGAAACAAATGAAAACAAGACATCAGTGTCACAGTGTGCCACCAATAAAACATAATTTTGAGGTGGTAACGGAATTTGGTATAGTAAGCGGTAAATCACTTTTCATCAATATAATTGAAATGTTCAACCAATCATGATACATAGATTTTTTTTTTTTTTTTGGTGAAAAATGATACATAGATTTATTAGAAGGCCCTACACATTTCAGAATGCTCATCACAAAACTGCATGACTTACAATCACAAGATCCAGAAATATAGTTTGCAATAAGCAAGTTGAGCCACTAGGTGTCTCCACCAAAGATAGGACACTTGCAAGCAACATATATCGAGCTTTTACTTAATTACGAGGGAACCCATCTCATTTACTTCTTTTTATTAAGTTTCATTAGAAAATAACTGGACATGTTATATGTATCATGAAGACGGTTATAAAATAGATTGGTATTTTGTTGACACTAAATATTCAACACGATCGGTTTCTCTGCATGTTTAATACATGCGTCGACGTACATTTAGATTACATGTCACATTGCTTTTCCTATAGTATATTTGCACGTTGCATGTCCATTGCGAGATATAATTAATTAATAAAAGTTTAATCAAAAGAGACTCAAGACAAATATGCTTATATGGATTGTTAATTTTAAATGAAAAATTGTGTATAACAACATTAAACAAATCAAAATTCAGTATAGTTATTGATCAGAAAAAATCAATCTAGTTAAGTCTGTTCAACTCTACTCACAGTAATTACAACCATGAAAAGAAAAGGACATTCCATGTATCATATCATATTATCAGGCTAGTGTTTTTTTGTTTGATATATATATCTACCAAATCAATATTAACATTTCAAAGTTCTTATGAATACACGTAAACCCCGCATTTATGTATTTTGAATTGCTAATTGCTATTTCTTTTGTAATCAAGATGAATCATGCAAGTCCCTTCTTTTTCTTGATAAAAGGAGACGAGATAGGGGGCTTAGAACAATAATAGAATAAAGAAGAAGAATCTTTAAGGACCATTAAAATTGTTGTCTAACCAAAAATATATAACATGCCTTTTCATGTGACATATATGGTGGTGGGGATACTCTAAGTATTCTCTCAGAATAAATAATCATATACAACTTCACATGTACATGTGATATCTATCATCTAAATATTTTCCATTTAGAATTTCTTTCCCAAATACATTTTTCTTAATACATGATTTGTAGTGTGCTGTCTTAAACATAAATAAAATATATTCAATATTAGATTTGCTTAATAATATAAAAGAAAATGAGAACAGAAAATTTTCCTTTACACATTCAAAAAATTCGCTCACTTAGTTTATGAATACAAACAATGGTGAAAATTAATCAAAACAATATTTTTGGAAAACCTCCTTGCTTATCGAATTTAAATTTCTTGAATGATTTCAACTAGGGATCAACGTTTTGGTATCTATTCGGTTTCGGATCAGATATTTCGAATTTCGGAGTATTTTGGTATTGGGATCTAGTATCCGTTCAGGTATTTTTACATATCGAGTCGGATTCAAATATTTTAAGTTTGGGTTCGGTTATTTTGGGTCGGGTTTCGGATATTTAGATTTTGAAAAAAAGATTCAATTCTTCATTGCTTAAGTTTTATGTACTTAAAATTTTACTATTAACTTAACTATTTTTAAATGTTTGATAAGTTAACGACTACTAAATTTAAAAATAAACTATTAAAAATAAGAAATCATTAATATGGTTGTTATTTTTAAATTTTCGGTAAACTTTTGTTAAACACATGAAATAAAAAACTTAACATGCATTTTAAATAAATAGCAAATCATTTTTTAAGTTATATGTATATTATCTGATCTTAAGCTATATATAACACTAATATAAATATTTTGAATAAAATGAGATAAATAAACTTAGAATAAAATATATATATGTATCCATATGTTCGGTTATCTTCGTATATCCATTCGGATTTGGGTATTACCCGTTCGGGTTCGGATGTCCAAACTTTCCTAACTCAATACCGATTCGGGTATATTGCTACTTTGGTTTGGATTTCGGTTCGGATATTTTGGGTCGGGTTTGGGTACGAGTTCGGATATCGGATAAAGTGCACACCCCTAATTCCAACCACCAAATTTCTGCCACTTGTTTTTGCTCACCAATAATATATCAATTTTACCGGCTTTTTTGGACAAGAATTCTTTGTAGTGCAATGGTAATAATATATCAAACCTTCAACCTTACAAAATCCTTAATTTTTTTTGAAACTAATACTTATGATCACGGCCCATAATTTTCTTTGAGCTTTTGGTCCGCATTTTCAATGGGCCGGCACTGTGTACCACCGATAACTAGTTCAGGGTTAGTGGTTTCCAAAGTCGATTTCGCTACTCGTCTGAGAAATTTTGTGAACTATTTTTACTGTTATGGTTTCGACCTCTGTTGCGTCTTCTACTATGTTATGTCTAGTTCGTTGCGTTGCTGTTTACTATGTTTTTGTTACAATCTTGGAATATGTTTTTGCCGCTCTTTGGGTAGTTACTAGTTAGTCGACTGTTACTCCACCCTAACTGGTATTTGTACCTAATGGGGTATCTTTCTCTTTGAGCGCTTCTTCACTAGTGTAACTCTTGGCCAATGTCATCGTTCACTAATGATAAAAAATCGTTCACTAATGATAAAAAAAGATTTACTCCTGACGGAAAAGAAAACGGTAACCCAATCCACTTAATTAACACCTCTATGATGTCTTTTTCTCCCCTCAGCAATTTTCGTGAGTAGAGTAACTCCTCTGGCTCTAAATGCATATCCCCTTTTACCTTAGCGGCTGCAGTTCTCTAGTCACAGGGTCAGTTCCACTAAAAAATTGGCTACCTTTTTTTAGATAAAATGTGGATTATAAAAACTTCGAACTAGGTTATACAGTTGAAGAATATAAAACAAATATTTTTTTTTTATAACACTGATGTAATGGTACAAAGAAAGTTCCAAAATAGTACAAAAAGGAAAAACAGAGAAGATAGGAGATATCATTAGACATCAACAGATAACGAAAAAGAAACTTCACCCAAAACCTTATAGTTGAGCCTCCAAAGCAAGTAAGTGATAAAGCCACAAGGATGCATTAAAGACGATGTAAGACTGATGACGATTATCGAGTGACACTTATAGCAATAGCGTCTGCTGCTTCATTGCGCCCTAGAACTGCGTGGTAAACTTCATGAATCTGTCCTGACGAGGAGGAAAGAAAGATTGCGATGAATATAGCTGAAAATAAGGTGGTCATTCTGAAAAAAGATTCTGAAAATTTGTGGCCGAAATTTTTAAGTAAATAAAACTCCCCGAAACTATGAATCTTTGCACCTGATCGACATGAGATCAGCGAAGCTTACATTTGCCATGAAAATGTAATCGTTGTCAAGCTTCAAAGCTTGTTCTTGTATTCAATAAATGAGATCAGATTTATACAGTCTATCATTCGTGCAAAAGTAAATACAGTAAGAATTCATTTCGTGTATAATCTTGTAGTAATACCAGGGCAGGGCCTGTGGAGAGGAAGGTGAAACATTTGAATGGGGCCCCATCTTTAAGGGCCCCCCATTTAAAAAAAAAATTATTTATGTTATTCAGTTTTTTTTAACTAATATTTAATTACTTTTTGTAAATTAAATTACCCTATAACATAAAGAGATGACTAAATTATATAAATAATTTTCTTTTTAATTTCAGTTCCATGATTATTTTTTTAACTAAGACTTGTTCCTTAGGTTTCTTCTATTTATTAACATAATTTTCTTTGTAAATTATTAGTTTTAACTAAATCATCACTATAACTAAAAAAATTCTTTGTAAACATTTTTTTGGACAAATATTAATATTTTTGTAATAAAAAAATAGATTGGGACCCCCAATTCTTCAGGACCGGCTCTGAGTAATACTTGCACTCTACCAACTTATACCAGGTTTGTTGATGCCAACTTGCGCTTTAGCTTCTATCTCTGATGCGCTTACTACCGAGACAAGAACGACCAGCAACAAATAGATTATGATGACGATTTCTTCTTCACATATTATGTTTAACAGCTATATCTATGTGTGTAACAATCAAAACTTGAAAATTTGAAATGAAGCTACAAACAAGCTTAACCACCCAGTTTGAATCATCTCATTGACATCATTTCATCATAAACCCTATCCGCACTCGTTTTATCGTCTCTTTTTCGGAATGCCTTAATCAACGCCTCATATATCTCAGCATTAGGCTGCATCAGCCTCCTCTTCATAATCCTAACATACTTCTCTCCAACTTCCACTTTACCAGAAGAGCAAAGCCCCACTATCAAAAACCTAAACACCTCGAAACCCGGCGAGATATTCCGAAATTCCATCTCGTAAAACATCTTGAGAGCTTCTTCGATATCATTCCCTTCAACAAACCCTCGAATCAGATGAGAGTACGTACGTTCATCAGGCACAAACCCTCTCTCAATCAACTTCGTTAAAATTCCGTTCGCACGTTTCAAATTCTCAACCTCGCTCACTCTCTCAACCATCTCATTGAACACCCAACAGCTAGGAACAAATCCTCTCGCCGCCATCGTCTCACAATACTTCAAACTCTCTCCTTCTCTTCCAAACCTCGAACATCCAACGACCAGAGAGTTAAAAGTCTCTTCATACGGATCAATCATCTCACCGAACAACTTCTCCGCCTCGTCAACACCACCAATCTCGCAATACACTTTGACAAACGCCGTGTAAACAAACGCATTCGCTAAAAACCCTCTCTTAAGCATTTCATCGAACACCTTCCGCGCATTAACCAAATCGCCTTCCTTCGTCCTCGCGTAAACAACGAGAGAGTATCCAATCACATCCAAAACCATATTCTTCTGTAACAACCTCTTCAACAAACTCATCCCATCATCGATCCTATCCTCATCTAAAACCCTAAGAATCAAACTAGTGTTAACAATCACTAATGGAGAACATCTCTCACTATGAATCTTATCTAACAAACTTAAAATCTCTTTTAACTTCCCTTCTTTACACAACGCACTGATCATAATCCGAATCGTGGCCTCGTTCGGGTACAGCCTCTTGTTAATCGCTACTTCGTAGATTCTCCAAACGAGATCGATCCGATTAGATCTAACGGATACGTGGATCAACGTATTGAGAGTGATTACACTTAGAGAGAATCCACGATCCGTTAGGTTCGTGAAGACGTCGAGTCCAGATTCGAGTAATCTAGCCTTAGCGTAGCCTTGAACGAGTAGATCGAAGACTAACGGAGTCGAGGAGGCGACGTCGTAAGTGTCCAGCAACGAATCGAGTAGATCGGAGTCGCGAGTTGAGTTTAAGAGAGAAGATTCGATGAGAGCGCGAGCGTCGATGAGTAACCGAGCCTTGACGAGGATGTGGATGGTGAGGGCGTAGGAGGAGGTGACGTGGCGGAGGTTGCGAGTGTGGGAGGACCAGTGGAAGAAGGTTAGGGCGCGTTTGGCGGTTTCGGGGCGGTTGAAGCGGAGGAGGATTGTGTTGATGAGGGAGGTGGGGAGGTTGAGGGTGGGGAATTTGGTGGTGAGTGTGTGCCAGGTGTCGTTGTTTTGGAGTGATGAGGAGATGGCGTCGATGAGGATTTTATCGGGATTGGAGTGGGAGGAGATGGAGCATAGGGTGCGTGTTGGAGATTGTTTGGGGGTTAGTGTGGAGAAACGCCATTTTTGTTCTCGTAAGCGGCGCATGAGTGAAGAGGAGGAAAGGCTGTTTAGCGCGGTTATGTTTTGTTAGGCATTGGGCCGAAAAGTAAACCATTTTCTAGTTAGATTTCTTTTTCTTTTGGCAGTGCCATTATTCACAGTTGTAAGAGCAACAAAAAAACCCTTTACTACTCCATAGATTAATCACTTTTTTTTTTCATCCCTTTATATTCCACTCTATTTTACATTAAGGCTTCAATTGGTGACCACAATTTATGAAAAAAATCATGATGAAATTGTTTTTCCTCAAAATAGGTACCAGGTAAGTTGAATTTTCTGTCAAATTGTTAACACATGGGTCCCACTATATTCATATGTTTTCCTCAGATACGTGGGAACTCTTGAACAAATATTTCCTCCTCCAATATTGATGAGGAATAAGTGGAAAACAATAATTAAAATTTTGAAAATTGAAAAATTGTTAAAGAATAAAGAAGAAGGTTGTAACTCTCATTGTATTATTAATCACGTGGTTACACATATATATATACATACAAGAGAATAAAGCATATTCCTTAGGAGATAAGGATTGCTACAAATAAAGGGGATGATTATCCTAATCCTATAATGATTAGGATAACTACAACATATGGATAAATACAAGGGAGGATA